CTGTTCAAAGCACCATGAGCGTCATGATCAACAAGCTCCACCTGAGCTACTAAAAGATTCCCTAATATTATTGTTTGAATCACAACAAACAATTTGATCACAACCAACTCTACCTGAGTTATCACTTATCAAAGCATAAGCTGCAACTGCGTGTAACACATATAACCAGGACTTTTTCCATCCCTTTAAATATTATATTGCTTTTAGTTGTGCTGCCTATTCTCATCAGAATGTTGGCAAGCTAGAACCAAGATCCCAAAAATGTGTTTTTATGGGGTATCCTGAAACTGTGAAAGGATAGAGACTATGGGCCAGAATCCTTAAAGGTTTTTAAATGATCACTAGTAGAAATATGACCTTTAATGAAAGTGACATACCATGTATAAGTGAGAAACATCAAGGTGATGTTTCCATAGATGATAAAGAAGATACACCCAGGCTGCAAGTGAAGCTTTGGACTCCACAAGACCCCACTGACCTTGACCAGCCTAATAAGGAAACTAAGAATGTTTTTTATTCTCAAGGGGATATTGAAGAGAATATCCAAGAAGGTGGAGGAAACGATAACCCATTAAAAGATTATCAGATAACTAGGGATAGAGTTAGGAGAGAAATAAGAGAGCTTGCTAGACTGAGTGATTATCTGTCCTTAGTAGTTTTGTGTTACCAGAATTTGGCCTTCAAAGAACCTAAGTCATATGAGGAGGCTTTTAGCTATCAGCTATCAAGAAATTGGCAATAAGCTATGGTAGAAGAAATGGATTTCCTGTCAAGGAATAATACCTAGACTTTGATCCCTAAACCTTAGAACAAGTCCAAAGTGGATTGTAAATGGATCTATAGTATAAAAGAAAGAAATTCAGCAAAGCAGCATGTTAGGTTTAAAGCCGGACTTGTGGCGAAAGTGTTTACTCACAAACCTGGTATTAATTACATTGATATTTTCCTACTTGTTGCTAAATATACCACCATAAGAGTTATGCTTGCTCTAGTAACCCAATATGACCTTGAACTTGAATAAATGGATGTAAAAATTGACTTCTTACGTGGTGATTTGGAAGAAATCATCTATATGACTCAACCACAGGGTTTTATTGATGCTAAGGTACTTGAACATGTTTGTTTGCTAAAAAAAAATCTTTGTATGGACTTAAACAATCATCTAGATAATGGTACAAAAGATTTGATAACTTTGTGTCATCTCTTAATTTCATAAGAATTTTTTTTTTTTTTTTATCATTGTCGTTACGTTAAAAAGGGTAAAAGTGGATCTATGATTGTTTACTTGCTCCTTTATATTGATGATACGTTGTTGATTGGCAAGAATATAAGTGATATTAATGACATTTAAAGGTCTTTAACATCTGAATTTGAAATGAACGACTTAGGTCATGCAAAAATAATTTGGGAATGGATATAAAGAGAAACAGGATAAGACAAAGTTTATTTCTGAAGAAAAATGTGTTATCTAAATTTTCTATGCATGAATCAAAATTTGTTACCTAACCTATTGCCAGTTATTTTAAACTTAGCAAAGATCAGTGTCCTGTTGATGAATATGATATTAAACACATGGGAAAGATGCCTTATGCTAATGTTGTAGGGTCCATCATGTACACTATGATATGTACCAGAACTGATGTTGCACATGCAATTAGTACATTGAGCATATTTATGGTCAATCCTTGCCCTGAACATTAGACTGCATTAAAGTGGTTGCTAAGATATTTAAAGGGGTCATATGATTTGGGGTTATGTTTCAAATTTAGTAAAGATTGTGTTATTCTAAAAAGTTTTGTATACTCCGATTATGCTGGGATAGGGATAATAGGAAATTAACCACTTCTAATATTTTAGCCTATGTGATAATTGTATAACTTGGAAGTCCCAACTACAACCTATTGTTGCCCCATCTACCACAGAAGCTGAATATGTGGCTGTGACTGAGGCCATAAAAGAGTCTTCATAGCTCAAAGTTTTGTTGTGTAAATTAAATGAACTCTCTAATCCAGTAGTTGTTTGCTCTGATAGTCAAAGTGCAATACATTTATATAAAAATCCTATTTTTTTATGAAAGGACAAAACGTGTAAATGTTATGATGCACTTTATTAGAGATAAAATTTAAAAAAAATCTATATTACTAGAAAAGATTTCTACACAATTTAATCCTACTGATATGAGAACTAAGATAATTCCCTTGAACAAGTTTAGATCTTGTTTACATATGTTGAATATTGATATTGGGCTGCGTTTGTGATATTGCAAGCAATTGGTAAGATTATTGATGCTGGTGATTATAAGGATGAAGATTGGAAAATTAGGATATGTTCAGATGAATTGATCATTGGCATCAGGGTGGAGATTGTTTGGACTGTGATGCCAAAGCCCAATCCAAATAATTATGGGGCGATGATGAAAATGGGCTTGTCCCACGGATGCTACTTACCATTGCTCAATAACTCAAGTGAAGAAGCCCAAAAATACTTGAGCCCAATATATGGTGATACATGTGCTGCTCCGGACCATTGATCATGCACAGATATCAACGTTGATGACTTGTTGATATAAAAGTGGTATTGATGGTTGCCCTAAATGCATAAATCATTCCAGTCTTGTAGAACCCTTTGGATTCTCTCTGTCTTTTTGTTTTTCCTTCGTGTTCTTTGTTCTTCTCTCTGGAACCTCTAGTTTTGGAGAATTGAGTAAAATCTTTGAGTGTAAGTAATTCTTAGTGTGAAAGAAAGGGTTGATATCTATGTGTTGTTATTCTGGTATGTTGAAATAGCTGCAATCTATGTATTGAGTGTAAGTGTTTGAGGCTTTCACACTTGTATAGATGGGTACAATGTTCTGAGCCCTTGATCTTCAAAATCTTCGATGTCAATGGTCAATTTTTGGTTGTAAATCTGAAGAGGAAATTATTCTTTATATTGTACTTGGTTATTTGATTTCTTGTCTCAATAAGTTTATATCCCCAGCTTCCCACGATCATCTGGAAATGTGACAAATCTTAAGACACATCTAATTGGAGACAGTCAAGTTGTTTTAGGAGGAAATTATGAACATTGAGATGACCATAAACCGTATTCGATCAAGAAAATTTGACGTTTTTAAGTGGAAGACTATTTTTATTAACAATAAAATCAAAATTTCGCATATTCTTTATTAACCATGTTTCATCATGGCCATTTTAAAATTAGCCAAAAAACATTTCATTTCAAGATTTTATTTGAAAAGTGAAAAGGCATTTTATCTAGGCAAGTTGCGCTTTGGCTATTAATTTATTGTCCACTAAGAATTTTTAAGAGGAACTTTTTCTTATGGAATTATAATAAACTTCCACTAGATTTATATATTACCTACCAAATATATGATATGCATATAGTTAATTATTGGTTTCTTCTTGCATTATAAACAAAGAAAAAAAATTACCTACTTTTTACTTGTTTATGTAAAAAAAAAAAAAAAAGAATAAATCATCAAACAGGTTCAGTGTACATTTGCCGCGTTTGAATTTTAATGCGTGATTCAAGTCATGAGATAAATTTGTACCGACCAACGGTACTCATCTTATTTTAAACATCAATGACGTGCTATATAAATTTATTGATGAATTTTAAACTTAATTCAAATGTTGAGGCCCACCATAAGTTCATCCACCAATGAATTTATATGGCACGTCATCGGTGTTTAACATAAGATAACACTGATGTTCAATAACCCTTATGCAAAACTATGCCTTATGCATTGAGATTAAGACTTATTACTCTATCCCAAAGCACTCATGAAATGTAAGTTATGTCCTCCATCATGATGTAGAATGAAGCTATACATGAAATCATGCGTCGTGTGAAACATAGATCATCATCGTTCTTAATCAAGACTCAAGTTACGAAACAACAATAGAAAGTACATAGATTTATATCAAAGTTGTGTCCACTTGCCGCTGATTTTTTGTTATAATGAGATATTACAAGGGTATCTTCACACCTCTGCGTCTTACCTCATACACGGAAAAAAATCTCCCTAAGTTCCTTAATATAAAATGACAAAGTAGGGCACTGAATGCAATATGTAAAAGGTTTTAAAAACACCATTGAGAGAGCATGGGTGTCTTTACAAGCTACAATATTTTCTGTATGAAAATTTTTTTACAAGGTAATTTAATAACGAAATACGAATTTGTACGATATACAGTATTAGCAACATTATAGTATAACAAAACTTCCCTTTCTTCCTTAGTCTTCTCCATACTTTCATGAAAACCATAACTTCTCATAAATTCAAGGACATTCAGCATGCTGAACAGGCTACCAATGCTCAACTGAGCAACCTTTCAACGAAAAGTTTTGAACTTCAATGGATTACCAAGTTAAGTGCTACTTTTAACCACTTCTTTTTGATGAATTTCAAGTACTTTTATTTACTCATAAAAGGGAAACACTCTGAATATACACAAGTATGAATAAGAAATAACATCAATTGGACTCCTTGTAGACGCAGTGTACATGCGTTTCTTATTCCCTAGCCTGCTGGAACACATCCCACGATTTACCTCTCTCACAAAACTCTAGGAATGGGGCGGTGAGGCTTTCAAGATTGGGGTTCAATCTTAAGAAATGACATCAACATGCACAAAGCACAACATGAGGCCGACATCTCTACCAAGAATCGAAAGTTTCCCATATATTATCCTATCGTCAAATCTGAAGCGTGCTTGTAACCTAAATTATCTTAAATTTAACAACTCATCATCCATTAATTATGTACACTAATCCCTGAAGGAACGACAGAACACATAGTTTGGCCTAATGACATGTAAACCACCAAATGTAATTAACAATGATTACGTGGCACAAAAACCATTTCACACGTGTTCAATATTCATTTTCAAAGATTAGGCTTCATATAAAGTTAGGCAGAAATTGTTACAATTTATTATATTAGGTTCTTTGTATTGGACATCTCTAGCCATAAAAGACATCCTTATAACATGGTGCAGAGCATTTTCCATCAACCCTCTTTTATATACTTCTATAGTCTGTCAAGGACTTCTTCCTTCTTTCAAATCGTATATATACAAAAATGGGGTATCGAAAATTTTCCAGGTTCGATTTACTTTTCTTGATTATAGTTTTTGATGTGGTGAGTGCAGAAAATGGTGGACAAATTTTGAACGATCGAGCTTCCCTTGTATCATTCATGTCTCAAATCACTGATGACCCTAAAAATGCTTTAAAGAATTGGAACTCTTCTGATGTATGCAAATGGTCAGGTGTAACTTGTGACAAGAATGGGACTAGAGTTGTAAAGCTTGTTTTAAGTCAAAAATCGCTACGTGGAACTATTGCACCATCTCTATCCAAGCTTTCCTACTTGTTGATTCTTGATCTGTCTGAGAACTTCTTTGAAGGTCGCATCCCTGCTGAACTTGGTTCTCTTTCCCTACTTCAAGAGATCAGCTTATCATCCAATAGTCTTGAAGGATACATTCCAACTGAATTTGGATTTCTTCATCAATTAACGTATCTAAATTTTGGAAGTAACAAGCTAACAGGTGACATGCATATGTCACTTTTTTGTAACGCCTCTTCTTCTCTTAAGTATTTAGACCTCTCCAACAATTCACTTGCTGGTGAAATCCATTTGAATAGTCAATGCGAGTTTAAAGAGCTGAAATATCTCCTCCTTTGGTCGAACCATCTTGTGGGCAAAGTTCCTCAAGCCATTTCAAACTCTTCAAAACTAGAATGGCTCGACTTGGAGTCGAATTCACTAACCGGGGAGTTACCATCCAAGATTCTGAGTAAAATGGTAAACTTGAAAGTTCTGCAGTTGTCCTACAATCAATTCTCGAGTCATAACGGTAACACTGACCTCAAACCATTTTTTGCTTCTTTAGCTAATTGCTCTAACTTGCAAGAACTCGATATGGCGGGAAATCATCTTGGGGGAGAGTTGCCTTCTATTATTGGTACTCTCTCTACTAAACTTGCACAGATAAATCTTGATGATAATCATATTTATGGTCCAATTCCTCCAGAAATTTCAAATCTTGTCAACCTCACTCTACTGAACTTGTCTAGTAATCTCCTCAATGGTTCGATCCCTCCTGAACTTTGTCAACTGGAGACACTGGAGAGACTGTATCTATCGAATAACTCACTCTCCGGCCATATTCCATCAGCTTTTGGAAATGTTCCCCATTTAGGCCTTCTTGATTTGTCGAGAAACGAACTCTCTGGTACAATCCCTGATAGCTTTGCTAACCTTTCTCAGCTAAGAAGGCTTTTGCTTTACGACAATCAGCTCTCAGGTACAATCCCACCAAGCCTAGGAAAATGCATTAACTTGGAAATTCTCGACCTTTCTTGCAATAGGATTTCAGGGACAATTCCAAGTGAAGTTGCAGGTTTGAGTAGTTTGAAACTATACTTGAACTTATCCAGCAATCACCTGCATGGGCATATTCCCCTAGAGATGAGTAAAATGAACATGGTTCTAGCCATTGACCTATCATCAAACAACCTCTCGAGCACGATCCCCTCCCAACTTGGAAGCTGTATTGCTCTAGAGCACCTCAACCTTTCGCAAAATATTTTTGAGGGGCCGCTGCCTGAATCTATAGGAAACTTGCCGTATCTCAAAGAACTTGATGTGTCCTTCAATCAGTTAACAGGGGAGATACCGAACTCTCTGCAGGCTTCGTCTACTTTGAAGAAACTGAATTTTTCTTACAACAGCTTCTCTGGGAACATAACAAACAGTGGTGCATTTTCGTCACTAACCATCCAATCTTTCCTAGGGAATAAAAGGCTTTGTGGTTCAATTGAAGGCATGCGAAGTTGTCACAGAAAACAAATTCGCCATTTATTAGTGGCAATTCTCTTTTCATTACTCATCACTCCTATATTCTGCATCGCTGGATATCCTCTAGTACATGGATCAAAATTCAGGAGGCAATCACCGGTTTTTAATCTGAAGGGCATTGAAGATGAAGAAGAAGCAATAGGAAAAGAGAGAAAATACCCAAAAATTTCTCATCGACGACTCATTGAAGCCACAGGAGGATTTAGTCCATCAACACTAATTGGGTCAGGTAGATTTGGTCATGTTTATAAAGGAGTTCTTCAAGATAACACAAGGATAGCTGTGAAAGTTCTGAACTCTAAGGCAGATGGCGACATTTCCGGGAGCTTTAAAAGGGAATGCCAAATTTTGAAAAGAATCAGGCACAGAAATTTGATCAGGATTATAACAATATGCAACAGGCCAGATTTTAAGGCCATCGTCCTTCCGCTGATGCCAAATGGAAGCCTCGAAAATCACCTGTATCCAAGCCATGAACTGAAGTGCAGATTGGATTTGGTTCAGCTTGTAAGCATTTGCAGTGATGTGGCTGAAGGGATGGCCTATCTGCATCACTATTCACCAATGAAAGTGGTGCATTGTGATCTTAAGCCGAGCAATATTCTCCTTGACGACGATATGACAGCTTTGGTCACTGATTTTGGCATCTCAAGATTGGTAAAAGTTGCCGATGAGAATGTTTCCATCAATGATTCAGCAACTTATTCCTTCGGCTCTACGGATGGTTTGCTTTGTGGTTCAGTTGGTTATATTGCACCAGGTAAGTAAAATTTTGAAGTTCAAAAAATATGCCAATTATTTGATGTTAAAAACGAAATTCTGCACAGTTCTACATACTATATGTCACGTTTTAACGTCTAAAAATCATTTTATTATTTGCATTATTATGTTGATCATACTCGCCCCTACTGATCAATCTCAATTCGTCTGTCCAATTGCAGAATATGGAATGGGAAAGCACGCATCGCCTCAAGGAGATGTTTATAGCTTTGGGGTTCTTCTGTTAGAGATTGTGGCAGGGAGACGCCCAACGGATATCCTTATAAAAGAAGGTTCAAGTTTGCACGAATGGGTTAAAAATCACTATCCGAACAGGCTTGAGTCAATTCTTGAAGGAGCAATAGAAAGGTGTGCACCATGTGCTACAATTCAAGGTGACAGCAGCAAGATATGGCGAGACGTGGTCATGGAACTGATCGAACTCGGATTAATCTGCACGCAGTACAATCCTGCCAACAGACCAACCATGCTAGATGTAGCTCATGAAATCAGTCTTCTGAAGCAGTATCTTTATAGTCCTTCGAACTTGCTCATTAAATAAGCATCAAGAAACTAAAATATTTTTGTGTCAAGAATGGCAACAAAAAAATTCTGCAATTCTAATTTTTCTGTTATTTATGCTTATTATAGCCAGGACTAAACTATTTCAGGTGGATTCAAATTTTCATTGTCATGGAGTTATTTAGAATTTTATCTTTAAACTTGGCAAGCAGTCATTTCCAGTGTTTGCATAAGATTTTTTCTTGGTAAATTAGTAGAGCAAAGATTATCAAATTTTCATTTTTTATTGCTAATTGCACAAACTTGTTGGTCCTATTGTTGGTGAATCTGCACGCCGAGTGTCCAGCACATTCAGTGCCGAGCATGGGTAGGCAAGGCCGTGCGTGCTATACTAATAAAAGCAAAAACAGTTCTAAAAAAGGTGTGAGCCTGGTGGCTTGCTCAGCTTGCTGTACTAGACATCGCACTTTTCTGCACAGGCAGACCTGACCTGGTCGCAAGAAATTGCGCATTGTGCTGAGCCACGCTGAAAATGAGTCAGACATGGCTGATCCATGTTGGGTGACATTAGTCTCTCTCACCCCAAAAGCTAACTCAATAAATGAGGTTTTTTTCTCACACATATAAACTGAATATCAACCTTATCCACAATTAACGTGTGATTACCTCAACAATCTCCTCCTCACACATCGCGCTTTGCAGGAGACCAAACACGTTTCCCCACACATATTGGCCCTTGCGGGAGACCAAACCCATCCCTCCTCATACAAACCTGTATCTCCGTAATTGTTGGGCTGGAGATTTGTTGATAAATGGGGCTTTGATACCAGTGTTGGGTGATATTTGGCTTCTCTCACCCTAAAAGCTAACTCAAAAGATGGGACTTTACCTCACACTTATAACTGAATACCAAATCATCCACAACTGATATGGGACAACCTCAACAATCCAACAAGCGAACCAAATTCAGCCTTTTGGTGGGTAAAAAACAGATAAACATTGTCAATGTCATCTAATCAGTGCCATGCACTAAAAAGGAAAGTAACTTTATGTTTTTATTTAAAAGCATATTATTAACTTAATGCATCAGTTATGGCGGCAAGATAATCATCAATGCGTAGTCGAATTGCACTTAAAAGCCTTCTTTCAGCCTACCATCAAGAATCCTAAAAAATTATATGTCACAGAAAGCTAGTGGTCTTACCCGACTCACTGCCTCCTAATATGAATCTGGATGTATTGAATTGTAGAAAAAATTAAAAATCTTATTATTATACAATATAGAGTCGTCAAGCGATATTATCAAATTTATCTAAATTGTGTGCCCTCAGGGCATAGCCTAGTGGTGCAAAGGACAGGAATGAGGTTATCTCACGCTTTGCTAGCAGTCGTAGTGTAGGGATTCGATTCTTGAGACATGGAATTGGACTCTTTATAGGCGTAGTGTACAGACAATTCTTATTCCCTGACCTACTAGGGCATATCTTACGATCTACCTCCCTCACAAAGGTCTAGGAGCGCGACGATGGGAACTCTCAAGTTGGGGTCAACCTTTAAATATATCTAAATTGTGTTGTTCGGCCTTTAATAATGACCTATGCTCTCACGGGATAATCTTTGGCCTTTTGATTTGTCTTCTATATGTTGACAGCTGACATCAATAAAAGCTATAAATCAAGTGCGTTGTACTTTGGCAGCAGTACAACTATAATCTTAATCAACAACTAGTTGAGAATCTAATCATATTTGCATTGACACCTAAAGTTGATTGATTCGGGAAAAATATCAGTTCTTTGAAAAATGGTTACCTAATTCTACCTGCTCGCATTTGATAAATGTATTTTATATATTTATTTGAACTGTTAAACTTGATCATTTATTGTTAAATTGAGAGGATTTCTACCTAGTTTAAATTAATTATGTTAATTTTAGAAAAAACCCTGCTTAGGATACAGTTGAAGCGAAAAAAAAATGCGATTTTGAGTATAATGGGAGTTGAACCGGATCATATAAGGTCTGGATTGCACATGATTAATTGAGAAAATTAAAAAAGCAATCAAAAAATATGCAAAAGTTTCAGATAGTTAAATCCAACATTGTGAAGTTGAAGACTGTATTGAAAACTCCCAAAACTTGCATTGGATCAATTATAGATTGGTTGAGGATAATGAGAATCAAGTTATAAAGATTTAAACATGAAGGAAGCGAAGTATGGAACCTTGCGATCACAAGGTCCAATCACAAAAATAGAAAATAAATCAACATCAAGTCAAAAGAATATAATGTGTGATCTCAAGCCCTAAGATTTTGCGATCCATGGTGTGTTTTTTGGGCAGAAATTTTTTTTGCTAATACAAATCATTTTCTAATGGAAAACCAAATTCTTATGTATAAATAAAAACCTTCATCTATCACTCAATGAGATAGTTTTAGAGAGAGAGAGGGGAGGAAAAAAAACACACACACACACATTTACACATTAAATTCATAGAATTACTTGGGGATTGTAGAAGAAGAAGAAAGAGATTCAAGAAGGTTGATTAAGATTTGTTAAAGAGGTTCAAGATTTCAAAATTGTCTTGCATCTTCTTTATATGCTTTAATTCTAGGTGATCTATGTTTTTGTAATAATATGATGTCTGACTAAGTGTATAGACATTAGTTAGAATAACGATGAACCCTATATTATGAGGTTCTAAACATTAATTTTCAGATTTTCACTTTAATACTTGTCGAATTTTAATGATTGTTAGGATTTTAATGCTATGTTTTTGTAATAATATGATGTCTGACTAAGTGTGTAGACATTAGTTGGAATAATGATGAACCCTATATTTTGAAGTTCTAAACATTGATTTTCAGATTTTCACTTTAATACTTGTTTAATGTGAATGATTGTTAGGATTTTAATGACTTTTCAATTACTAGCTAGTACATGATTTGTTTGTTATTCATATTTACATTTTCGAGAGAAATATCTATTAATAATTGTTGTAAAATTCAATAGGTGATAGAAATACACCGCTATACTTTGCATGATCTTATAAATGTTTTTTTTATGTTTTAATGTATTTTCATGTATTCAAATAATTCGTAGAGATATCATAGGATTATATTTTAGGATACATTCAATTCTAATCAAGAAAGATTGTGAATTTAATTAGGAATATTGATCTTTAATATCTGACAAGTGTTGTTAAAATTATGAAATTGATATTGAAATGGAATAATATTGGGGGATTCACATCCTAGTGCTTTCCATTAATTGAGTTCATACAAGCTTCTCATTTAGTTAAAAGTTTGACATTTAGACCAGTTATTGGTTTAGTTTGTTATGATAAATCTGAACAAACTATTTAATTCGATAAAAGTTATGGTTAACATGATTCTAATATAATAGCATACTATCTAAGGGTGCCCGATTCACTCTAGCCATAATAGACCTTGAGTAACCAGGTATCCACTTGTACAATACTGGCAGTAACGTCCACATTACTACTTGTCCCATATAGTACACTTGCAATTATAGCAAACAAGTTTTTGACGTCGTTTTCGAAAACTATTTTTGCTTAGTTTCCTTTTAGTTTTAGTTTCGATTCAATTTTTTACTTCTTTATATTAGCTTTAGAGGGTGTTTGGTTGGGATTAAAATTAGATTTTTTAGTAGATTCTGATAGAAGTTTTTGAAATGTGTGGTTGAAAAGTTGTGAGACCATGAAAGATGTGATTAATATCGATTATTTAACTTTAACTTGGATTAAAATCAGATTTTAACTGGGACCAAACAGCCTCTTAGTTTTGTGTGTGATATTGCAATGTTTTGTGCTTTCTTTAAAGATCTCTTGCAAAGCAAAGTTTGATACATGGTGATATCTTATCCTTCTAATCGCGAAATCAAACAAACTGTCAAGCAGAAACATAAGCAATATCAAGAAAAACCTAATGGTTGAACTAGAAAGAGTCATGCAAGCCAAAATTTATGAAGATGATTAGCCATTCAGACATTCATCACACTATGTGTTGCACCAAATCAAGCCAGCATTTTATATCCTCCATTCGAGCAACAGAACTTTCAGTTAGAGACATACATCATTCTCCTAATATATAATTGTCTATCATTTATGGGAATGAACTTGAGAATCCACACACGCATGGATGTACTAAAATAACAACTTTCATAATGTATCAGATGAAGCCGTCAAGCTCAGGCTCTTCCCACACTCTTTGAGATGGGGCGAATGGTTGGATTCACTACCAGGTGAAAGCATTCAGACATAGAATGATCTGACAAATAGGATTGTCACAATGTACTTCCCTCCGACGAAATTAACTAAACATAAGCATGAGATCTCAACTTTTCAGCAGGAAGATTCAAAATGCTTCTACGGAGCATAGGAAAATATAAGGATATGCTGAGGAAGTGCTCAAATCACAAACTATAGAAAGGCTTGCAAGTCCAGTATTTTTACATGGGATTGGAAATTTTGAACCACATAGTGGTGGATTCAGCTGCAAATTGGTCAATCATAATGAAGTCGCCAAATGAAAATATTGAACACGGGCAGCCAACGATTCATTATGGCCTTCTAAAAGAGTCGTAAGAAGTCTGACTAGAATCAAGAAATATATTCTTTCTCGGCATTATCAGCACACGTCTTCTTTGGAAGAGAATATATGGATCATCTCACCACTCAAAGCTCAACAAAGGCAGTGCAAACAAGGTTCTTCGTATGTGAAAACTATGGGAAAGCTACAATATTAGGAATGTCATATAAGGTTACCTGCAGCAAAAGAAGCTAGTCATGGTCAGAACTCTCAATGCCAGCAAAATAATCCATACTCCAATACCTACAACTCAGACTAGAGTAATGACCAAAAAAATGTACAATAGCCCACTGACTGGTTTTCTACAAAAGGACGAGAAATTATTATTGGATGTTCTTGTAGGTAAATTTGTGCAAATAATTGAGCAGTACATTTAGAGGACAAATTAATTCATGACTAACGTAGGGAAAACCAGCTGCAAACTTTTAATGGCTGCAAAATAATCTAGACTCCAATGCCTACAACTCAGGAGAAATCACCCTAACTTCTCGTGGAGTAGTAACCAAAACAATGCACAACAACCAATTATTGTTTTTAGTAAGATAAGAATTCACAATTGGAGGATCTTATAGGTAAATACGTGCAAATAATTGAGAAGTAAATGTAGAGGACATATCATTTCATAACA